CGTATCTATACCTATTCCTACTGTAAGTATATGGTGTGCTCATACAATAAATCCTAGGATTCCAATGTTTTTCTGAAACCTAAGTCACACCAGACCGCATCTCACGATTTCCGAATAATTTTAGGCTTTGTACTTCTGAACTACGCGTTTAATTAATAATCTCATTTGACGGGGGATTAAAGAAATGTTTCCAACACTAGTTAAAGCTCGATCCCATTTTTCTTTTTTCATGTTATTTCAGTCGGTGTGTATTAATAGACTTAACAAGTTTGAAGGAGGAGCCCCTTCCTTAAAGTTAACGAGATTCTTGCCGATTAACCTCCACACTTGGATAAACGCATCGTAAGGAATTTTAGAATTTTTAATTTATAGTTTTAAGTGCCAATTATAGTTTTCTTCACCGACTGCAAATATTCCACAAAAGCGACAAGAAATGTAATATTGTTATTAAAGTTCCATTTCCTCTGGAGAAATTTCTAAATTTAAATTATTAATGTTTCATCAAAGCGAAATTATTTAGTATTCTGAAAGTCTTACAATTTTGATATTTAAAAAAAAAGAGTAATATAAACCACCAGGTTCTTGCTTTTCTACTTTGTTGGTTGATCCCTGAATATAAAACCTTTAAATTTATATCGCAGAGAAGAAAATACTGGAGTGTTGCTAAGAGAGAATTTGTGCGCAGAATATCACAGCACCGATAACAATTGCTTTAGATGACTGACTTCTTTAAAAGGAAATGACGTAGACAAGGTTGGATGTGAAATGACCTTGGTGGTCAAAGCAAATCATTTTTGTTGAGATTTTGTTTTAAAATATATAAACTACTTTACTTTTTTATCATAACCCACTCTATTCCTCTAATGGAGACAACCAAAAACACACGTTCATAAAAAGTATTCTTCATTTATTAACAAGTATCGATTTCGGAGTGCTGCTATCTTAAAAGAGCCCTGTTTCAAGGAACACTGTGGAATAACAACCTATAGAATGTAATATAATTAGTATAACAACATTATCAAGGTAAGATATATAAACTACTCTGGTTTTTGACTTATTGAATTATGATTGGGTTAACCGCCTGCGCTCGCCGTCTGTAAGGCGCGTTTCCTCTCATCGACATCGTAAGTGGGAGTCTGTTCTAGTGCATTGCCTTTTGTACAGTTTCCTCTAGACTAAAAGTAGGCGGGAGTAGATCTACATATATTACCCTTATTTTAATTGTGTTTAATTTAAGCCGTATGTTTCTATTTTGCCTTTTTAGTTTATAATAGCTGCCGATTGATAAACCCATGCCGGTTTTGTAGGAACGGGCGACGGTTTAGCTGTTCCGATCCGACGCTGGGTGGGGAGCATCGTAAGACAAGGTCATTACCCGGCCTAGCTAGACTTTTGCTTCCTACCACTCGGTCAACACACGGCTTGCCAAAATCCCTAGGTCAGTGATCCCCCGTCCTACCTTACCCACTTTTCAAATCAGCTGTATGTCTGCTCTCCCTTTGTACAGGCCCCGTCTTCCTTCATCACCCACTCGTTTAAACATGCTTTATTATTGAAATGAATCCTTTAACGGCTTTCAAAAGGCTTGTACAATTTGTATTTTAGAACATTAACTCAATGAAATTTGATAATATTCTGCCCTTATTACAGTGCGATTAGGATCACAACTATTGTGTTTTGAATGAAAGGCATAATAATTCTACATAAAGGAAGCATTAAGCCACTATGTATCATTCTAAAATAATTTAATTTGGTTTTTCGAAGAAATGCAATTAAAGGTTTCTGTAGGCAGGTAAGTTGCGGTGAAAGCCAGAATAGTTTTAATCAAACAAGTTAATATAAAAACTAATTTGATGGTGGTAATTAAAAAGTGAAATTGTGATGATGTGTGCTGGACCTGGAATTTATTAAAAGCCGTCAATTGATTGGTGGCTGAATATTTTTTATTAGGTTGACTCCAAAAGTTTAATTTTAACGTAAAAACTATCTGTTGGTACCAAACTATGATTTCAATGTCAATCATAAATGATTGCACTACTGTGTAAGTTGCAACGTATATGGTAGACATTTAATAAATACATATTATTTTTTACATATTAATTGAATAAATAACATACAATAATTATTTTTGTATATTTAGAAATATTACTTTATGATTGTAACGGTGCATAAGGTTAAATACCAATTTTTGCTGATTAATCAATCGGTGTTTTGCTGAAAAAATAGGTGTCAAAGCTAGTAGTTTAATCCCTAGTTATTTCGTGGTCCGATTGACCAAATAACTTCTTTCAATTAATTCATCTTTTTATGTAAGGTATTGGTTGAAATGAAAAAATGTCACGTGCGGGATTCGAAGCCGAAGGTCGTGGGTTCGAATCCCGCTCGTGACACTAACATTTTCATTTCAACCAATACCTTAGATAAAAAGATCAATTAATTGAAACTAATAGTTTAATTTTTACCTAAAACTATATTTAAAAAAATTGAACTCGCTGTTTTAATTGACTTGCGAATGTCATCTCAGTTACACCAAAGGCCTGATTTTAACCGAAAAGTGAAGTTTGGTCGTTTGATCATTGTTGTCTGTCTCGTTGGTTCAGACGCGACTGAAAACGGCAAAATACCGAAGTCGCGAGAAGTTTATTTTAAAATGTTAATGTTTTAGTTTCTACTCCTAAATCTAATAGTTTTATTGTCTTAAAAAATGATTATGTTGAATATGTGTTCAATATGTCGTCATAAACAGCCGCAGCAGAAATCCACATGTAAACTCGAAATATAATTATTACCTAAACGAGATTTTAAAAACTTCACCCTTTGTGCTAAATCTCGAAGTTTAAACATCATGAAAAAATTTAAATGGAACTGCATCCAAGTAAATCACAGGTCCTTGAAGACTCTTTGCTAGGTTGAAGACAGATTTTCACCAGTACTGAATACAAGTAAAGATATCACAAATTTATCTAGCCTCTCTCTAGATGACACTCTTCTACCATCTTGTACTGCCCTCATTGGTTTTGTCTGTCAAAATTTACCGACTTATAAAAAAAATAGGAAACAGACCAACAGCTTATGATGGAGAATGGTCGAAACTCGCTTCACGGAAAAAGCCAACGAAACCAGACTGACCAGGATGATCTCAAACCATCAGGCTAATGGTTAAATAACAAAACTAGTGAGTTATATGATGCAAAATATTCTTTAAAATAAATTCCAATATGCTAGTTTATAAAATACTGATGATACGTTAAACATATTTATAGGGTTTTATGAAGTAGTCAGCAAGCGATAATTTGTAGAAATTGTATATTATTACATTAATTTCACTTTTTTGCATATTAAAATATTTATCGAAAAACTGTAAAGTACAAACTGTAGTGGAAATAGAGGCTGTTGAAAAGAGTTATCATTGAATAACTCCACAAGAATTACTATAAAACTTTATATCAAATATCTTGTCTTTTTTTATATTTCAGGATTTTATTCGCTTGAGATCATGTTACTATGTCAGTTTTGTCTATGTAGAGGCTGGATAAATATGACAATAAAAAAGATAGCATTGAATCATAAGATATTGACCAATAAGATAATATCATTGATACGAGTGAAGTTGGTTTAACGATGATGTTGCTGGCTATATCTGTGCATTTGAAGTTAGAATATGGCAGAGAACCTAAATTTATTTATAAAAGTATTAAAAACCATAATTTCAATGTTTAATATTTCTATATTTAAAGTAGTCATTCAGAAGACAGCGAATTGTACAGTTGCAGGCTAATTAAATTATTTCTTAGATTCAGACGCTACAGTCTAGCTTATTTGTTGGTGGGAGCTCTGCTGAGTCGTTGGTAATTAATCCATGGATAGTTTTTGTCCAACTTAATGAAGCCGAGTGCCGGCAACGCCTCCGTAAATTGTGCTAACGGTATGAACCACTCAATCGTCACTATCAAATGGTATTCTTGTATGATGAAAGGCTTTCTAATATGTAAAGTAAGAAGAGAATTAATTAAGATTATTTATTAGTTTAGGCAGTTCATTCAAGAAGGATGTCAGACCATTCAGAATTCATATGGAATTTTGAACCAACGCTTTTTATTATTCTTCCCTTATATTTTCGCTTCAGGCGAAACTGTTTCCCCCTTTCTTTATAGGCAATTTTAATTAAGATAATTGGTGCGGAAGGGCAACATCCGAATAATATAGATTACACGTGATTTCAGTTGAATAGTTAAGACCTGGAACCCATTCTTGAGATCGTCATTTTTTACCCCTTAATTTTAAACAACGTTAAGCAAAAAAAAAGCTGCGTTTTAAAGTAAATAAAAGAACTTGATTGTCATAATCTTCATCCGTTGTTGAAACGAAGATAATCAAAGTCAGTTTAGTTAAAATATATCTAATAACATCATATTAGTGTTTCGATGTCGAACTTGATCAATACTACGAACAAAATGAAAGTAAGTAAAGTGACTACTCTAATAAATTAAAATTTAAACTGAATTCCTGTAAAACAAAAATATTTATAAAACATTAGACGTTCTTAAAGTAGATCCTCTGAACAACATACCATCTAAGGATGGAAAGACGAAAAACAATCATTAAAAAAAAATCCGCGTTAAAAAATCGAGCAAAATTGATCAAAGTAGCAAAACGTACAAGCTAGGAGTTGGATGCTGGTGTAGTACTGTAGTAAGTTGGATTGGGTATTAAAAAAAACATGAATGGGAAAGGTATAAATGATCTCGAAAACGTTCCTAAAAGCCACAAGAACCTGATCACATCATATCTCCACACGAAACACACAACCAAGAAAAGGAGATAAACCCAAGTAAAGAAAAATCTCTGTCAGAACAGGTACACACTTCCAAGATGTGTTGAATAAAGTTCCTAGTTTAAGCTAATTAAAAACCAGCTGGAAGAGGACCTCATACACAACTTTATATTGATTTTAATGTTTATTGTTCAAAGTGTTAATAAAAATCTGTTGTATTTTTCAGAAAAAACTTTCAACCTGATCATACTGAAGGACTGCTACTCCTGATGGATAGAAATCATTATGGACGATGCTTCATTTAAAAGCAAACAAATTTAATGTCAGAACAGGTACACACTTCCAAGATATGTTGAATAAAGTTCCTAGTTTAAGCTAATTAAAAACCAACTGAAAGCGGACGTCATACAAAACACAACTTTATATTGATTTTAATGATTATTGTTCAAAGTGTTAATAAAAATCTGTTGTATTTTTCAGAAAAACTTTCAACCTGATCATACTGAAGGACTGCTACTCCTGATGGGTAGAAATCATTATGGTCGATGCTTCGTTTAAAAGCAATCAAATTTAATTCAGAACAGGTCCACACCTCCAAGATGTGTTGAATAAAGTTCCTAGTTTAAGCTAATTAAAAACCACCTGGAAGCGGACCTAAAAAAACCCACACTTTATATTGATTTTAATGATTATTGTTCAAAGTGTTAATAAAAATCTGTTGTATTTTTCAGAAAAACTTTCAACCTGATCATACTTAGGGACTGCTACTCCTGATGGATAGAAATCATTATGGACGATGCTTCGTTTAAAAGCAATCAAATTTAATGTCAGAACAGGTACACACTTCCAAGATATATTGAATAAAGTTCCTAGTTTAAGCTAATTAAAAACTAGCTGGAAGCGGACCTCATATAAAACACAACTTTATATTGATTTTAATGTTTATTGTTCAAAGTGTTAATACAAATCTGTTGTATTTTTCAGAAAAACTTTCAACCCGTATCATACTGAAGGACAGCTACTCCTGATGGATAGAATTCGTTATGGACATTATGCTTCGTTTAAAAGCAAACAAATTTAATGCCGGGTTTCAGGGAGGCTTCTGAATCACCTTCGTTCTCAAGTCTTGTCTGCTGATCAGAAACATCAGCTGGACTCGAATATATTTCAAAACATTCTGATCGCCACAAAACTTAACTTTCAAGGTGCTTTATCCAAGACGTTGTCTTGATTCCGTGGTAAATAAGCTTTGAAACTACTATATCGTCTTAACACCATCGAATTTTGTAACAAACCACTTTTTTATGGAAAAAACCGACTCGTCAAATATCAAAAATCCATGTCTATTTATGGAGCTTTTAATTAATAATTAAATTTAATTAAAACTAGAAACACTCAGTTGTTCTGTCAAGCTTTCGAGAAAAATAATAGTTTTAAAATCCTGATGAATATTTCTTGAAAGCTTGACGAAGGAACTTGGTGCTTGATTTTTATTTCAAATTGATCCGTGATTTTTAATTAAAAAATAAATGTTTATTATTAATTAATTGTATTAATATTTTTTTATTATTTTATTAATAACTTTATTAAATAGTACTATTAACCATTTTCAGTTTTGGTTAAAAATAATCTTTCTTCTTAAGAAAACGCTCCTTCCAAAAATGTACAACAATATCTCTCGTGGCTGCAAAATAGACTACTTACTCCTTAGTGAGAACGGAACGATTCGATTTTTATACAAGAAGGAAAGAGTCTTATTATTCTTTGTCTGCTCATCCAAAAATGTCTTTCATCATTGCTCCCGGGTTCTGTTAAAAATTGAGATATTTATATTCCGATACATGCAGGGTGATCGTTCTATTGTTCATGGTGGTGAATGCCTAACAGGAAGTACCTTCAAGGATAACGGTCTATTATTGTACCATTACATTACTTATAAGGCTGTTCCACAGTGGACCGTAATATAATAATATTTTAGTCGGACGATATACATTGTTCCTTGGCAAATTTCATTCGTAAGCAAATCCGATGCAACCCGATTCGTTGGGCCGGTTTTTGCCTTAAAATAATCTTAAGGGACAGAGGTAATTAAAATAATTTTTTAGTCTTATCTAATCTTACTTTAATTTAATTTGTTTTAATATAATGTACGTTACCCTAGGTTTCTATATAATATTGTGTTGTAATCACGGCAAAATTCTACTTTGAAGTCTTAAAAAAATTATTATTAGGAAACATAGATTTCTAGATCAATATTAAAAATTATATCTTCTTTTTCCTCTTACTAGTAATTTATTAAAATTGACTACTAATCTGAACATGATTAACCTGTACATTGAATATTTCGAGTGTTTTAATCAATATAACATTTGATTTAAGCAAGAAAAATTTGCATTTACCTTTAATTACACTAAGGTACAGGCTGAATTTTTTTTAAATTTGTTTATTTTACAACTGCATACAGAATGCAACAGGCAAAAATTGTATTATTTACAAGGATATAAATATACCGATGCACATACACAACATTGTATGCCCATTTACATGTCTGGTGTGATTCATTTCAATGACCACCATGGAGTGAAAGTGGTTGTAATTGGCCATTATGGCATGAAGTCAACAGCAGCCTAGAGTGGCCGAAGTTACACAATCAGATGGTCGCGAGAACACCTACGCTTCAGTCTTCTATGAAGGTTGGAAAGAATGGTCGAGCCGGACAGGTTGCGAATTAATGGGTTGTCGTGAAAGGATAGTTAGGAGTGAAATTTATTCTAACTGACCAGGTTTGGGATGTAGGGTTTGCTGAGATCGGAGAAGATAGTATGATTGGTGACGTATAATATATCACCAACTATTGTGCGAAGGATTTTGGATTGTAGGGATTGGATTTTGTTAACATTCGAATGCTTGGCTGTCCCCTAGATATCAAGTCCCATAGATAAGCAAATTGGGGTGATTAGGGTAGTGTATGATTGTTTTTGTTTATATCTTATATGAGCATTTTGTATCTAAAGTTATGAGGTTGTGCAAAATGTATGATTAATATTTAATTTCTAAACGTAAGGTGTTTTAAAAGAGTAGTAATTAACAAATCGAAAGCGTATTAAATAAAAATAAAGGCTGCTTCTTGGCGTAAATGTAGCAAATTATATTCTCATTATTAAATTGAGTTTTAAACAGCGTCAATGTGATAATTTAATTCGGTAACTTATATTCTTACTTGGTTAAGAAAGAACGAAATAATCAAATTTAATTTATTTATACAGTGTTTTGTAATTATGGTCGTATTTTCCATGATGGTGAAGTGGTTACGGAATCCGACTAGTATTTGCCAGCCTATCGGTTCTGGGTTCGAAACCTGGGCTAGCCCTTGGAATTTTTATTTAAATAATTAACTTACTAGAAATTACTTTTCTTTAACTTTATAATTTTTTTCTCTTTTATGCATTATTTATGTATGTATACATCTCGTTTTTCATTAATAATCATTTTTCAATTAATTAAGGTTTTTAGTTGAGATAAAAAAGCCAGGGTCACGAGCGGGATTCGAACCCACGACTTTCGGCTAGATACGCCGCTACTCTACCACTTGAGCTATCATGACTTCGAGCCACTCGGACACTAACTTCCCATCTCAACCCCACATTTTTTAATTTTCCCTCCTTTTTATCATTTTTCAAAGGTCGTGTAATCTATTTGATTCTCGGCGACAAATGAAATGGCCACGGAGAGCTTTAGTGAAGGTATACTTCATTAAATTATTAAATTCACTAGTTTGCGTGGTCCGCTTGGCCAATTAATATCTTTCAATTAATTAAGGTTTTTAGTTGAGATAAAAAAGTCAAAAATGACAAAAAGGAGGAAAAATTCGGAAGGTGGGGTTGAGATGAGAAGTTAATGTCCGAGAGGATCGAAGTCACGACAGCTCAAGCGGTAGAGTGGCGGCGTATCTAGCCGAAGGTCGTGGGTTCGAATCCCGCTCGTGACGCTGACTTTTTTATCTCAACTAAAAACCTTAATTAATTGAAAGATATTAATTGGTCAAACGGACCACGAAAACTAGTGAATTAACCATTTTATTGACATTTCGCTTTACAATTCCTAGCCAACAAACTGAGAGAGTTTGTAATTTGAACCTTCGCGACCATTGCAGTTTGTCTATCATCCTGGTCTGTCAAAAGCGTTTCTGGAATTCACCGTCTTTAGTGTTGAGAGTGTCTGGGGGCAAACTGAAGATAACGAAAAGCCGAACTGTCTGACAGACCAACCCAGCAGCCAGATGACCGGAAGGATCAAATTACAGGTCCATCGCACCGCACCACAGGAGGAAAATGCGATGAGGCTCCCAACTCATCACGTTTACAACTATGAAAAAATAAATTTATGAAAGAAATATTGGCATGCATACTATGTATATACGATGGTTATTTATACGTTGGTGAAGTTGTCAAGAATGCAATATAAAAGAAAATGCGAAAAAAAAAGAAATGAGTTATAAGTTCTAAAGGAGTTTGCACAACTTAACAAACATGCTGCGGGCTTAATTCAACTTGTTATTCTCTCTGTAAACATTTGTTTGTTTCAAGCTGGCGATTCAAAAAGTTCCTTCGTTGCCATCAAGTTTAGGGAATTATATTATTCTGAACCTTTCAAAAATGAAGATGATAAAAAGAAAGAAAGTGTGAGGGTAAGAATCTTTTATAAAAAGCATACGAAGTGTACGTTTAGCCTACGACCCTCGTATTTTCGTATTGCAAATCCGGAGGATTTTTATATAATAGGATGAACTTTCTCTCCTGTTCATAATCGTACTTCCTATAAGGATCGAAGGATCCCTTCTATTTTATCCAAAAAGAAAGAGGAGGCCAACAACAATTTTCTGCTCCGTTTCAACCTGTTCCCTACAGGCAACATTTGTTCTCAATCTAAGACCACGAATAACTTCGTTAATAGGTTAGCAGCAAAAAACCATTTTAGTTGCCTAGGAAAGCACTGTATAAAGAACAAATAGAACAAGTAAACACATCCAAATCCAGTTCCATTACAAACTAATTCATTATAGACATTCATTTTTAAACTTTTGGTTATTTATTTATATTTTATGGTTACTTGTGTCATTTCGTACGGAATTATGATTAGTTCAATAATTTACAATTAGCTTTTTGCTTATGGTTTTGTATTCATTCATACTCGAGCATTAATAAAACAAAATCCAGCTAACGATGATTTTTGTATTTTCGTGTAGGTTTACTACGTTAAAGGTAATCGTGACACTAACAAAAAGGGGTTTACAATAAATACAGCAATAGCTCTACTAGTCGAATAATATTTACAAAATTAGAGTTACGTTGAAATAGTTAACAAAAGCCATTTAAAAATGATTAAATCTAATCTTCACATATAAAATTAATTAAAGTATGTTAGCTAATGTTTATTAAATAAATAAAGGCCGTTCTGACAAATGATGAAATCCAGCCCTCATGAACTCATTGATCGAAGCTTCTGTTCACTGTTACTGGTGGTCCAATCAAAGTTTGATACAAAATAGTCAAAAAGTCTAAATTAATATTTAGTCAATTTTAATGCCTTCAATGGATTCAATAAAAATTAGAATGTCCATCTAAATAAAATTTTATTATTTATTATTATTATTTTATTGAAATATAAATAAATACATACTGATAAAGTGTAAGAGTCAGAAGAAAAGAGGAACAGATGGGTAATATATAGTTAGAAAGATAAATAGATAAAAAGGAGGGAAAGAGAGAGAGTGAGAGAGAGAGAGAGAGAGAGAGAGAGTGAGAGAGAGCGAGAGAAAGTGAGAGGGGGGCGAAAGGTGAAAGAGAAAAAGTAAGCTTTTCGATCATGTAAGCTTTGGTCACAAGGACCCTTACTTTTAACGTGATTCGAATATTATACAGTTTTACACATTATTTTAAACTTCTAACATATAACTTTAGTTTTTTGTTTTGCAGTTCATTAGTTCAAATTTACAAATGTATACATACAACCAGGAGATGGATTTATATTTGTAAGTGTGACATTTCTGGTTTTATAGAGGAAGCTACCCATTGGCAGCCGGTCCGGATTAGTCATTCAAGAGGTCTCTGGTCCATATTCTCTTCAGTCGTCTACAAGGTAATTGTGATGAATGGAGTAATTGTATTTGTGCTAGGGTGATCTTGTAGTTTACTGTGAAAACGTCAGTAACAGGCTTTGATTGATGAAAACACATGTGAAGATCACTGTAAAGAATGTTACTATTTACAAAAGAAGGTGTATAACAATTCGTCGTAAAATATGTGTAATTTTTGAATATTGGAATATTTGGCCGATCCGTAAACTTGACACATATACATCCAAATAGGTTTGATTAGGTATGTACGTATCGAAAGTTTTGATTTCAATGGT